TCTCCCTCCATCCTGGTATCCACACACTCACAGCCACCAGTCAGCAGCTATAGCTCCAGCTGTGCCCTTAGTTCAAGGCCAGAGTGTACAGATGGGTCCTGGTGCCCAGGTGGAGTCATTCACCAATGGGCCCAGCTCCAAGACCAAAGCCCAAGACTTCATGAGGAGGGAGCTCCTGGCTGAAGCCCCTGCCAGGCACCCCCTAAGGTGCCTCTGGCCCCCACCTAAACCAGTACCACCCTGAGAAGGGACTGACTGATTCGATCCAGAGCAACGACCTGGCAATAAGGCCCAGGAACTGCATGGCTGAGAGAAAAAGAACAGAAAGTATCTCTATCACCCTTGGTCATCATCCCCTCACAGAGTGTGGGTGTGGTGGGGAGGAGGGTCTCCAAGTAATGCACCCACTTTGGCAAGCACGTGGCCATATACAAAGTACATCCCCTCTGCTAGGGTGAATCTGCTCCCTGAAGGGTAGGGCTTGGGCTGCGGACTCCAACAGTTGGCATTTGGATCCCATCTCTGCTCCTCTATAGCTGTGCCCTGTCTGAGCCTCCCTCTTGTCTCGTCTCACAAATTGCCTGACAGTAAGTGTCCCTGTGGTCCTGTCCCACCAGGACCTGACTCACTGGTGACCTGAGGCTCAAACACAGAGGGCTGGGTCCCACTCCTAACCCTCAGGGCTACATTTCACACCACAGCCGAAAGGCCAAGGCTGGACGCTGCGCCAGGCTGGTGACGGGGCTCCCATGACAAACCCACAGCCTTTTAGAACCTTGGGACCAGATCACAGGCAGATTTTCACAGGAGCATGAAACATTTACTCCCTTCCACAACAGAGAAGTGATTGGCATGGCCAGCAGAGCCCAGGTCAGCAATCCTCAGGACCTTTCCATCAGGTCTGGTTGGTGGTCCGAGAACCTGCTTGCCGGTACAGACTTGAGTGGGTTTCATGGGTGGACTTTCATTTCTGCAGGTTCACAGGGATGTTTGGGTGACTCTGCTTGTTCTGCAGTTGCTGGTGGGTACACACGGCCTTCCCAGCTGAGACTGTCTTTGTTACTGTCCCAGAGCACTCAGCCATACCAGGATTCTCCCCACCCACTCCCAGCAGTAGCCTCTTCTCAGCTCTGGGTCTTCTGCCCTGTCTCCCTGAAGCCACTTATGCCTGCTCCAGAGCTTGGCAGGGTGACAAGTGCTTCCCAGACAACAAAAGCCTCTCCTGGGAGAACAGACTTCCATGAAGGCTCCTGCTACACCCTTGTTCTGTGCACTGACGTTAAGCTGGATTTCAGGGCCCCAAATGCAGGGTGTGCAATACAGGCAAGCTGGGTTTGGGGCAGAGTGTCAGCAAAAAGGGTCCTGACAGCCCATCCTTCCCTTCAAGTCAGTCACTACCCCCTTCCTCTAGTACTTCGGGAGGAAACTGAGGGGCAGAGTAGAGAACCTATCTTGGTCAAGGTCTCCCCACCCTGGGTCTCCTGGGTGTGTTTCAGGCAATGACATCAGTCTCCTTGGGCTCCAATGCTGTGTGACCTTGGGCAACTTATTTAACCTCCCTCAGCCGGATTTCCTCTCAGCTAATGGTAGTATCCAGGTCCGGGATGTCCTGAGGATTAAATGAAATAATATGCATAAAGCACCTAGCACTTGGCCTGCTCAACACGTGAGCCATTATTATCATTATTCCATTCATTTCATTCTCCCCTCTCCACTCCAGCTGCACTGGCCTCAGTGCCTGGCTGCTCCTCAACCCCCCCAGGCGCCGGCTTCCTCCCTGGCTTCCTCCCAGTCTTTACTCAAAAGTCACCTTCGAGCGAGCTCTCCCTCGCCGCCTGCTTGATACCCTTGCCCGCTTCTGTCCTCACCCTGACACTATTTGACATACTGGACATTCTACTGATGCACCTGCTGGCCTCCCTCGCCCTGAAGCATTCCGAAGGGGAGAGCTTCTGATAGACTCTCCACCCAGTGTGCCCGCGCCCGCCGGAGAGAGTGAAAGATTCCTATCACGTATCCGGAGCTGCGGGCGCGCCCAGGAGCCTGGCTCAGGCGCCGGACCCCACCCTGGGCCGGAGCAAGACGGGCAGCGCGCGCCGTAGCCGCGGGCCAGGGCTGGCGGCGGGACCCGGGCTCCCGGGGGCGGCACCGGGGACAAAAGGGCGGCCCTACCTGTGCTGGGGTTGCGATCGCCTCCCCCCGAAAGCTCCGGCGCGCGCCCGCGAGATCACGTCCGGGGCGCGCCGGCCGGAAGGAGGCCCCGCGCGGGTCGGGAGGAGCGGGCTGTCCTCAGCCACACCACGCCCCTCCGGCCAAATGGCCGCAGCGGGGGCGGAGCCAGCCAGCCAGGGGCCGCCTCACACTTCCGCTCGATCCCGCCGACTCATTCATATTCATGATGAGGATGAGGGGCGGGGTCCGGGTCCCCGCCCAGCGCCCCGCCCCCGGGCCCGGATCCCGCCCCGGCGGAGGCTGCGGCCCCAGTGGGGCGCCCCCGGCTTCCGCCTCGGGGAGGGAGTTTCCACTTGGTCACGACTCAAAAATGTGTCGTTCCTGCTCCTCCGCCCCCTCATCCCTGCCCTGGAGGGGGTCCCCTCCCTCGGAAGGCAGGAGGGGCGGCTCCTCCTTCCTGGGGCAGGTCCTTGGGGATCGGGGCTGACCCCTCCCTCTTTTCTTCCCTCCTTGCCTCCCTCCGAGACAGCGTCTGTAATAATCCTCATTTAAAAAAAATAATACTAGTTCTAATTTATTAAGCGCGTATTCTGTGTCAGGCACCGTGCCCTTTATATGAACTCATCTCTTAACCCTTCCAACAATCCAACTGAAGAAAAATATTGTGATGCAGAAGCTCAGAAAAGGTGGTTGACATACACACCATTTACACAGACGGCCTTGGGATTTTCCCGAAAGGTCTTCCCGTTGGGTTCAGGGGTCAGGTACTTGCCCCCGTCCCCCCCCCCCAAATGCCCCACTGTAGGGAGAAACTACATACTGGGAAAACCAAAGCATGAAGACAGGAGAGGCTGCGCCATTGGCTAGACCTAGTGCAAAATGAAAATATGGGGCCTCGTGTTCAAAAATGAGTCCTTCTAAGGTGCCAGGCTTGTGCACAGGTGAATGTCATGAAGCTGGTTCTGATGACGCTCAGGGGCTTTTCTAGGGGCAAAGAAGCCACATCTCCACCTCCATTGTCACCCACACCCACCCCTCAGCCCAGGCGCCTTACCTCCATGCTGACATCTAGGGCTGGCCTCCAGAACTCTAAAAGCTAACTACTCCAGGCCCTCTAGGAGCAGTTTCCTGAGGGTCAGGTGAGTACCGCAGGGTCAGTGTGTATGACCCAGCCGGGCTTTGGGCTGTGCCTCCTGGGTATTGTCAACCCTGGGGCCTGTCAGCAGATGGGCAGGGTCATACTGGGCAGACCAGGCCCAGCACAGGCCTCAGTTCTTACTCGAATCCCTTCTTTCTCACTGGTGCAGGGTGTGTGGACCAGCCAGGGCTGCTTCCCAGAATAAACACCCCACCCATAGTCTGCCCCAGCCATGCAGGCACGGCAAGCCAGCGCCAATGGGAGAGACCTTCACCAGGCTGCCAGCTCAAGGTTAATAAGTCATCCTGATCTTACTCCTTCCATCACTTTAACCTTGTGCCTGCACCCCCACCATCATGGGTTGCAGGCTTCGTTAATAACAATAATAGCTACCATTTGTTGCGTTGTTCCCCCTCCCCGCCCCTAGGCTTTGGTGAAAGTCCTTTGTATGCCCTCTCCACTGAGCCTCACATAGCCCGGTAACAGGCATGAGGATCACCATTTCACAGACTGGGAAACTAAGGCTCAGAGAGATCCAATGGCTGGGCGAAGTTCAGGAACCAGAGTTCAGGATCTGCTGCCATTCATCCATACTGGTTCCTGTCATCTTGCCTATATCTGCAATATAGGTCTTAGGGCTCATTTCTTCATATTTACTCTCAGCTCCTCAGATAGATTAAAGGCTCTGGAAAGACAGAAACTGTGCTTATACCACTGAGTTTCCTGCTGGAGTTACCATTGTGTGTTAATTAAAGAGCCACTTACTAAGCACCGATGTTGTGCAGGACACTCTCCTTATATTGGGCAGGTGTACGTGTGTGAAAGAATGAGCCACTTCCACTCTGGGTACTGACAAGCAAGGGGGTCACTGAGAGATCTCCTTAAAGACATGGATGGGGGACCGGCCAAGTGGCTCAGTTAGAGTTGGCTTGGGAGCGCGAGCTCTGAGCAGCAGGGCCGCCGGTTCGGTTCCCACATGGGCCAGTGACGCTGCGCCCTCTACAGCTAAGATCGTTAACAACAGCTCAACCTGGAACTGGGCTGCCGTGAGTGGCGGGCAACAGTGTAGGCTGCAGTGGGCTGCCGTGAGCTACTGTGAGCAGCCGGCAGCTGGCGAGAGCTGCTGTGAATTGCCATGAGCTGCCATGAGCCACCAGGAGCCACCGTGAGTGGCTAATGGCCCGCGACCGATTGCCTTAGCCAGGGAGAGCTCAATGATCATAATACCAACATGGGCCCGTGAAGTGACGTTCTCTACAACTAGACTGAAGAACCAAAGGACAGCAACTTGACATGGATGGGGATGCCTAGCCCTGTGCACACAGTGGGCCCTGAATAAATGTTGAATGTATCAAATACATGGTGACGGAAGGAGAACTGACTCTGGGTGGCAGACACACAATGTCATAAATAGACGATGTATTACAGAATTGCACACCTGCAACCTATGTAACTTTACTAACAATTGTCACCCCAATAAATTTTAATTAAAAAAAAAAGTTGAATGAACACATAACAGCTTAATAAGCATCTGCTGAATGAACGAGAACCTAGGAAATGTCCGATAAATGTCTATTGATGAAGGATTAGGGGACAAGATTCAGTCCCTAAAATATATCTATCAGCAATTTTCTTAGTCAACTCAGGCTGCTATAACAATACCATAGACTGCGGGGATTAAACCACATACATTTACTTCTCACAGTTCTGGAGCCAGGGAAGTCCAAGATCAAAGTGGTGGCTGATTCAGTTCCTGGTGAGGGCTCTCTTCCTTGCAGATGGCTGCTTTCTTGCTGAGTACTCACATGGCAGCGAGAGGGGGAGAGGGAGAGAAAAAGAGAGACAGAGAGAGAGAGGCCATCATGGGGACTCTACCCTCATGACCTCACTTAAACCTAATTACTTCCTAAAGGCTCCACATGCAAATACAGTTACATCAAGGGTTAGGGCTTCAGCCTATGAATTTTGGGAGGACATAAACGTTCAGTTCACAACAGCAATATTTATGAAGCATATATTATATTCCAGGTCCTGGGCAGAATTCTGCAGGGGGAGTGACAAAGCAGATAATGCCCTTGTGTCTTACTCCTGGGGAATTTAGGGTCTAATGGAGGGACAGCTCATAACACATGGGAGGGAGCAAGTAGCAAAGAATGGGTGCTCAGGGTAAAAACTCTAGAGGGAGAAAACTCAGCTTGATGGTGAGGGAGGAAGACATCCCTCTTCATCCACCTTTCACTAAGAAGGAGGAAGCCAGGCCTGGCCCCACTGTTATAGCAAGTGCTGCCTCCTGGAAAAGCCTCTCAGAGCCTGGCCCTCTCAGATGTTCCCACAACCCCACCCTGCCAGTTATCTGATGCCCCAGGGACATAGCAGGTTATAACACAAGCTTTGGAATCAGAGGGACTAAGATTGCAATCTGGACTATGCCTCCTACTAGCTTCTAAGAACTTGACCAAGTTACTTAACCTACCTGTGCCTCAGTTTCCTCCTCTGTAAAGCAATAATAATATGACTCACCCTCAGGGTTGTTGTGAATGTAATGAAAGGAGAGTATCTGATGCAGAGAGAGAACTGGACTGGCTGAGAATTGGGGGTTTCTGGTTGAGTCAATTCCATCCATCAAGATTATAGAGTTCTTCACTCTTGTTAAATTTGCAGGAGCCAAATTTAGGGGCTTATTTGCAGCTAAGGGGCCACCAACTGGATCCTGGAATTGCCAAGCCTTGGATCAGGCTTGTCACCTGGTAGTGATTGCTAATATGTATTGAGAATATACCTCATTTAATCTGCACAACTTCAGAAAGGAGATGCTATTATTCATCATCCCAACACGGGAGTACCAAGTCAGACTTCTCACTGCAACCAACCTGCTTGTCCATGAAAACAAATGTGCGTAGAAAAATGAGAAAGGCCCTCAAGGGTGAAGGTTCCTTGTGTTCAAGTGCCCCTTATGGCTCAGAGGTCACTGGATTTCCCTGGTCACTGGGTTCAGTTCCTACGGGACTGTAAGCCCCACAAGAGTAAGGACAGCTGGGGTTATCACACTTTGTCCACACTGTCGCACAATGCCTGGTATCCTGCAAACACTCGGTAAGCATTTTTAACAGATATAAAATTAGCCCCTTGTGTACCTTTTTCGTACACCTGGATTCCTCCGTGTGGAGCGGAACCTGGCGGAGGTCAGACGTTGTGAGGCCGTCTGCTGCATGCGCGATATGGGCTGAATCGCCGCGATCCCAGACGCCGGGAGGGGGCGCTCGGCGTCCCTCAGCCTCCGCCCCACCCCACGCACCCGCTGGTCAGTGGACCCGGAGCGTCCGCTCTTAACAGCCCCCTCCTGGAAGGCGCTAGGTCACGAAGCTGGCCTTCCCCCGGGCCCATCTTATGGCTAATGTTTAACCCGGCCTCACTCCACATTATCTACACGAGGGAAACCGGGTGAAGTGGGGATGGGGTCAACTACAAATCGCCGCCTTCCGGGCCTACCGGCCTTTCTTGTATCACCGAACAGTTCATGAGCACCTACTGTGTACCCATTTGCCCCCAATATAATGAGCATCTACTGTGTGTCCACGTAACAGTTCATGAGCAGCTACTATATGCCAAGCACTGCGCGAGGCGCTGGGAATGCTCGGGAGGAGATCGCGCCACCAAAGACTCGCAGGAAGGCGGAATTACGCCCGGAGGCAGATGCCTCACCTATAGAGGATACTTTCTGTCTGTTAGATTCCTCAAGGCCAAGTGTGTAGCGGCAAGGTTGGCCAACAGCAGCAGGGCTCCTTTTGAACCAAGGTTTGCCACCAGACAGCAGAGCAGCAAGAAGACTGGCCCAAACAAAACGCGAGTCGGGGTTCAACATCAGGAGGTAAAAGCAACTTAGGGGGTGCAGGTGCGGGGCTTTCTCACTCGCGTCTGTCCATTCTTTAAGGCGCACTGCGCTGGGCGCTGAGGGGCCAGTCGCAATCAAGGACCCCGCGGCACTCAGGCTAGGGATGCAGGTTGCTCCAACAGCTGGGACCAAGACGGGGGCCGTGCGGAAGCCCGGATTGCTCCGGTCCGGACCTGGTCCCTATTCCACCGTGAAGGAAACTGAGGCCGAGGGCAAGGCGGGAACCAGCCTGGCGTAGTACGGGAAGTAGGCGCTGTACTCGGCCTCGAACCCCGGCGTGCGCCGCCCCGAATCCGGAGCTGGGGCCTCTGCCCGGCGGGCGCTGCCCGCGCGTTCCTGGAACTGGGCTGGGCGGAGAAATCAGGGCCTGCGGAGAGGCATTCCGGCCGCCCTCCCTGCTGCCCAGGGCCGCGGGGGGCCTGGCCAAGGTGACCCCGCGGGAGGGAGGCGAGGGGCTCCCGCCCCCTCCTCCATCTTCCCGGCCTTCGGGGCTTTTCCTCTGGGCCCGCACGCCCTCCCTCCTGTCTTCTGCGAGACCGCCCCCTCCCCGGGCTTCCCCGAGGGCGGGACGTCCCCCTC